TTTTTGGGTAGATAGACTTTCGATCACCTGAGACGTTTGTGTCATTGTGGTCACATAAAGACATTTTAGATCTGTAGTAAAAATCAACAATGCATTAAAATGATGGCTAGATTGCCATTAACAGAGAACTAAGTTTTTCCCTTGTCATATGATAATACTTCTGAATGCATGTGGAAAGTTGAGGCCAAAATCATTCAACTAGAAGATTTCAAAAATAAATGTAAAGGTACTTGAGGGTGGTTAATTCTTGAATGCAAGAATGGCTTATTCGTGTTGTAAAAGATAGTAGAGATAGAGTTTAGTGGCTAAAACACATATTCGTATATAAATGCATAGAAGATAAGAGTTTACTCTGTTTCTTACTTGATATACTTGCTTGTATGCACAATATGACAGTATTCGTCCTCCATATTGCTGAATAGTAAAGCTATTAACATTAAGAATCCTAAAATTTTTACTTATGTTTTCAAACTACTCTAAGTAGTAGATAGAAATAAACTCCAAGGAACTTGAGAATAAAAAAGAACAATAATGTTTACTAGTTCACTATCATTCTTTTATTGAACAGAAAAAAGAAAGCAATTGTCTTGGTTGTATTGTGTTCTCTAATCTGGATTGCTTAATCGTGAAGCTTTCATCGTCTTGCTAGACGATATCGTCAGCACTAACTTCAGTATGAAGTCCGTGTATTCTGGTAAAATAATCATGCTTAGTTTACTTCGGTGACACTATGACATTATGACTTATATGCCATCGAAGCCTAGCAGAGTATTACCAGATGATGATGTTTTATGATGCAATTGTACAAAAAAGTGTGTCAATCAAAAGCATAAATTAAACACCTCGATAGCTAATGTCCAGCTGCCTGGTCAGTAGAGGGTGACTTCATTACACTCGGTAGAGACTGTTAATCGCAATACATACATATCTTTTTTGGGGAAAATTGTTATCCATCTGTAAAACTAGGATATAACAAGCCAAATATATGAATACTAACATGACACCATTATTTGGCTTTTCATAAACTGTTTATAAACTAAAATATGAAGATTATGATAGAATTTCAATTTAGTTTAATCCACTGGTGCTTTCAAAAATAAATAGAACAATCGAAATTAATGTTTATTGCGAAAAGTCTGAGTAAAAACCCTGAAAAACTTTGTCATATCTAACCTAATACAATTGAAGATTCTCCAAAAATGAACCACGTTAACGAAGTTATATAAATATTTTGCTATTCAGATTTTCCAACTATGTAAGTTTACACACTGATAGAAAGGAAGATACCTGAAACATAATCAGCCAAACTAGCTCAAATAAAATAAGTTTTACTATGAAGCATTTCAAGGTGTAGTAAAACATGGTGTAACAAAGTGAGAATGAAAGTTGAGCTGTCAATATTATAAGAGGTGATGCAGCCAGTAAAAATCGTGAATCAGGTGACCAAGGAAGAGTGGTGAAATCCTGCTACTCAGCACACAAATAATTTTGTAGATGTTTGATGACTATAACTTCAGCATACCTTCAAAGATTTGATAAACTATATTGACTTGGCTTGAAAGATTTCAAGACATCCTTTCATGAAGCTTTGTATCAGGTACATTTGACTGCACTACTGAAAATGTTTACCTAATTATATATTTCTGGGAGGTTTTCATTAAATCTTTTTCACTATACTTATTTCGGCAGCTGCATACCAGTTGATACACAAAGCTGGTGACAGGAAATACAACTGCTGACTTTTGACTGCAATAATGACCAACTGGTTTGCTATGCTGAAACTATGATTTCTAAATTTACCATTCTCAATCACCTAAGAAATTTATCTACGGTATCATCCCCTTCAAAGTTAAGATAGATAAATCGTGTATTTTTTTCTTGAGAAGAATGAAAATTTTGCGTAATTTGAATTGAAACAGTTTATTATAAATATATTCATAATGAATATTTACACTCAATGATGTTTCAATGCTGGTTATATCCTGAGCAAAACTACAGTTTGTGATCACAGCAGTCATCAGAATCCTATAGATTCTAATGATAGTTTGTAGCAAGTGATACTTTGAAATCAGTCGATTCTGCAAACCTGAGAATGAAGTAAACTGTCTTGTGTTCATTATTGACATGCTTCGAGATGGATTCTTTAGCATCTCCATGAGAAGCCGTGAACTTTAGGAACAATCGGGTTGATTGTGAGATCAAATACTTCCTGAAAGCATGAGATAATGATCACTCTACATCGGGAATTAGTAGAAGTGGGAAAATACAGGTTACTGGGTTTAAAACGAGCCGTTGAATATTAGCGATCTCGGCAAGGGACTTGACAGTATTGGGTTCGATCCTTCTTAGGGTAACGAGTTCCCGCTAATGAGGAGTTTCCCATAAGGATGAAATAAATGTGTATTGCTGCCAGGTTTTAATTGTTTTACCAGCTAGTGTTATTGGGTGACGAGTACTGCTTTGAAATAATCGTCATTAATAACACAAAATTTCCGTTGACGATAATCTTGTTGCATGAAAATGTTGGTGGCTGATTGCGAAGGCTGTGGAGTTGCGCAAAGTCAAAACAAATTATTGCATACTGTTAATTATGCTTTGCTTATTCAGGTGGACAAAATTGGTTTCAGTATCATTTATGACATAACCAACTAATTAGAATGCTTTATGTAGATACCTACATTTACAAAGACGAAATTAGTCAAATATTTTATATTTTTTCGTTGAAGTTTGCAGCTGCTAAACTAGCAAGTGTATATCTACATTTGCGTAAACTTATTTAAATAATTCAGATGAATGCAGTGTGAGAGTTGACATTACCTTCCAAAAATAAAGTACTGTGGTAGTGATAGATGAAAGTGATACAGTTATGTATTTCAGCGACACAGACACATAACTGGTTATTCTCCTCGAGTATTAAAATCAAAGTATTCTTTCACGCATGAGACGGGCATGTGTACAGTAATTGTTTAAAACTGAATACTTGAATTTTTTAATCACTGGTTAAACTGAGATTCTTGAAGTTAATTAACTATAAGAAAGAAAGATACATTTTATTCCATAGACGGTGAGTTGTATTTAGAGATGATGTTTTTATTTCAGTACTAGTGCTGTTTATTATAAAGGCTAATACAATAAAAGGTGAACTAGCCCACTGTTGAGTAATTAAGTCTCATAACCGTTACAGTTAGACGGTTGAGTAAATTAACGAAAAATAAGAAAAGTACAAATGCAGAGCTCAAACACTACGTGATAATTGTGAATCCAAGAATGACTCATTACACCATATAAGTTTTTCCTACGTGGCCAATAATACACAGAAGATGACAAAAATTGGACATGTAAAGTGTTCAACATACTATTTTGATCAGAACCATATAATTCTTTAGACAGTAGTATTTGAATTATCAATACTTAACGAATTCTGGACTTTTAGTTTGTGGTAAATTGGTGTGTATGCAAGACAATTTGAAATTTCCGAACGAATGAAGCACATAGTACTTGTAATAATAGCCACTGAGTTTAATTTTTTGCAAACACCATTGCCATATCATGAGTACAGCCAGTTTACCAGGCCAAGTTTTCACAAAACATAAGTTCTTTATTTCATTGTTACTAGATGATATGTTATTTTCTTGAATGCCTTCACTTTGCTTAATTAGGATAAGTATCTAAGCTGTTTTTCAAAATGCAATTTTCTGTCTCCATAATTATGTTAACATTAAATTTTCATGTCTGGATGAATTGACTTCCCCCAATAGAAATGTGGACTGTTAAGAAAGTTGCATTTCTCTAGAGAAGATGGCATGCCTCAGTCAAATGTGTGTGCATTTATCTACTGAATGACTATATATTTTCGCCTTCATGGCAATTATCAAATGCATTTAACAACATTTAAGCAGATCGCGTTTTTAAGAAGAATAAAACCCATAATCCATTGCTTCTTTTTGTACCTTAACCCACTGACTTCTGACATCGTGTGGTCCTTTTTAAAAACCACAGTATTTACCAAGGAACTCTACGGGAATATTTCAATGTTTCCAAAACTTAAACAGACTGCAGATGCTCAGTCTAAGTGACGTGTCACTCTATTTAGCATAAGTGTTATTCCTTGAGCCAAATACTTGTTTTTGGCTAACTGATGTCAATTGATAGTATTAAGCGAATTCAGTATCAACATATGTAGCGAATAAAAATTAAAATGGTCAGATTCCGCTGATATTCGCTCAGTGTGACGTTATTAAACATGACAAGTCTTCTAAATGCAATCTTTTAAGGGATATGGAAATGAATATTTACTCCAATAGTTCACTTTAACTCTGTAAAACGCAAGTCAATATCTTTGAAATGTTATTTGAAAAATGTATTAAGATTTCACCGATCATTTCAAAAGCATGACAAAATACTATTGATAAATTTACATTTATTCTTAGAGTATGGAAAACTCCGTTTACATTTTTATATTTTATATATCATCGCAGTATCGTCTGGTTATCTGTCGTGGTCAAATACTCTTTGAACTGAATTCCCATGAAATCAGTTTTCCAGAAGTGAAGCCTTAATTGCTTACTGTATACGTCATGCCAGTGGTCATACCTGCATTTGCAGGTTATTCTGATGTTCAGTGTGTTTGGATTAATGTAACAAACAAAGCTTTCATAAATTAATTACAACAAGGCTTCGAATGATTCATAACTAAGGTCTATCCGCCTCACACACGATCGTTAATGTAACTAACATCTATCAAAGTGCACCATGATGGTCAGCCTCCTGGCTTGATGGCTACATTGTAAAATGATCGATAGAATTCGGTCTAGGCCCAGGAATAGACAACATGAAATTGGCTACTCTCCAGTGATCAGTCACTGTATACTAAAAACCTTCTGGTTTTCTTTTACTGCACTCAAATACTACTTAAATGTCAATAAAAAACAATCAGTAACACTTATGCATAAACACTGAAGACCATAATTCAAAAAGTGAACATCAACTGAAGAACTGTTGTTTTTTAAATATTCATTTAAATTTCTATGACTTCACACTAGGCTACCAGTAAGTAGCAACAACATCAAGCAAAAGTAAATACAACGTTAGTGCTTCGTGATGTTTAAAAATAAAGAACAAAGAGGAGAAATCAAGAATGTAAACCTTACACTATAAAATATTGCTAAGTGATATTTCCACAAGTGCCATGATCGCAAAGCTTCATCTGACAGCCACTGTGTACGAATAAAAACTAATTTGGTGGTAAATAGAATCGAGGTAAAAGCACTAAAATATACAAGATTGTATGATGCATGAAGACATGGATAGTAATGAATAAAATTATAAATTGAAATTGCGAACAACAATTTGGAATAACGTGTTTATGATAATTTAGAAATGCATATAGTAGGATAGTGCAACTATTAAAAATCATAATGACTCAAGAAATTATCTATTCATTTCCAGAGTTTGCCTCTACCGCTTTATCTTTAATTTGCACTTCTGTTACCATTCTTAGTATATCTTTAGCAGAGAAGTGTATACCAGCATCCAAGCTCATTGTAATGCGTATCAATCCTTCTGCATCGATAACAAAAATGCTCCTGTAAAAAATAAATATATATAAATAAATCCGTAAATATTTTGGGAAACATTACCATATTTTTACTTATGAAAGCGATAAAAATTCAAGTGTCATTTTGAGGGTTTCGTTCAACATGTTCTTCGTGTAAGCAGAAGACAAATTGGTATACATAACTGATGCTTGCTCCACAATTAACTTAGTGAGAAATATTCAGTAGTTAAGTAACCACTCTGCAGTCACTAAATGAAAACAATGTAGCGTCTATGAATAGTACACTGTTGTAGAACTTTAAAGAAAGCTTAACTTCTTTCATTATTCAGTAATCGTTTGATCGATGCATTACTTTAGAAATTTTCTAAAATAAAACTGCAAAGTATAAAGTTGGGACTTAAAGCAATTGGGAGTAACTCGTTCAACTAATGGCCAGTGGTGAAAAAAGTTGCATTTCTCAAAGTAACTACAACTCAAGCATACCTGCCTTAATACTTTCCAGATATGCATTATGTTGTAGTCTAGTTGGTGGCTTCAAGATAGATTCTTTGGAGATGTAATAAAACAAGTCCAACCTGTAGAATTAGTTGAGCTAACAACGAGAATAGACAGATGTCCTATTCTAATGGTTGACAGTATTGATGCCAAAGCACGAATCAACTGAAACGTCAACCTGATGATGAGCATTAGTTCGCATATCAACACCTAGAGTTTAGCGAAACCAAAATATGAAATTCAGCGGTGTATAATGTCAAAAAGCAGGCGAATCATGAGATTCAGAAAATTTTGAAGAGAAATATGAAGTTTCTTCTAATGACAATGACACTGACAGATTGAAAAAGAACTAGATACGAAGAAAATGAGTTGGCAAGATCTCAGTCAAACCTGAACTAAATCACTTCTGTTGACAACTTGTACCCATTCTAAACAGTTTTAGATTTTGTGGTAGGGGTCAATTAGTCTTTAGAAATAATATTATAATCTAAATAGAACTGAGAAGCAAAACCCACTGAAGTAGACTGATTAAAGTGATATCAGAAATTATACTACGAAGGGTGATAACATCTATTTTTACCTATTATTAACCGGTAAATCCTATTCGTAGCATTCTTTGATCAGTGTCTGAGTTTCATCACACCTAGAAATCGCTTTCTTTGTACTGATGTTATTTTATAGAACTATTTGTACTGATATGCTTTCAACACTTTTTTAAACTCCACAAGTATTTTCTGCTCAGGCAGAAAGTATCATATTTTTGTACAGAATTACATAATGCTTATACAGTAATTAAACATTTTTTCAGTTTACTGCATTTCATTGTTGATACTAATCATAGGTAGCCAAAGATTTATTGTTTCGTCTTTTCGACAGTCTGCCCAGTAGTTAATAATCAGTAAATAATGGGAGCAGTAAATAGTGTAGAGGAAGTTGAGTTTTAAAGATTAGGATTTTTTTAAGAAAATGAGAGTTCTAGGAAGAAAGAACTGTATTATATTAAGTTACAAATAATAATCAAGCACATTTGACTTCTCTTTAATAAGTCCAAAGTTAAGTTCTATCTTCAAAACATCTGACAAGAATAGAGATAATAACAGTTTAACACATGTTTTACTTCCGATAACACCTATGACACAATATAGTTCTTTTTTATTTTAAAAAAATGATTAATATTTTGTCTTTTATTCACGGACCTGACATTACCCTAACAGACTGATTCCATAGATGTGCAAAATCTCTTATTTTTACATCATTCGCATAACTGAGTTAGATATCATCAAACTGAAATAGTTTCGTCACAAAAAAACTTGTGTACAAAAATTACTGTTGAAGAATGTGATACAGAGGAAGTCATAGGTGTTGAAAAATACAGTCATAGGAAATTTCGGGACATATTTATTCTATGACTAAGCGCTTTTATACTGTTTAGTAATATTTCTCACCATTTCTACCAAAAGATTTTTGAGATCAGAATGCCTTAAGTGACTATTTTTATTTCAATAATTCAGTGTGACTTTAGTAGTCACTAAATTACTGTCTAAAACAATGGACACTAACAGAGTATAAAGAAGCCTCTGGATGACAGAATTTAGGACACCAATTTAATAATGCTGAAAGGTGGAATTTTCTGACAAACCTTTTTTTAAACGGAAGCATTACCACTAAAGGCTTAAAAACTGGCTATCCTGTGTTACAAATCTCACGGTAACTAACATCTACTCAAATGCGGACATGCAGAATGTGCATGGATTGAGGTAAATGTGAAGGAAATCTCTGAACAACCTCGTTTACTACAACATGCAATAACTGAAAGTCTGTGCACAATGTTTATCTTTCATAGGTGAAAAGTACTCTGTTTTAAGCAGGTATAGTACATTAATACACTATTGGATCAAGCCGTTTAATTAAGCACACAATGACATAATATTACTTACTTGATAATTAGTAATAACATAATATCACTGTGTTATAATAAATTAACTAATTTGATATATAATTAAATTCTATACTTACATCACATAAATACCTATATCTATCTTTTTTAAATGAATAAAAAATGGACTCAGAATAACGGTTGGAGCAGAATAATATGGTACCACTTTATATCAACGATTTCTCATCAACTGCTTATAAACTGAAGTATATAAATATCATACAAAAAAAGATTTCAACTTGTTTCTTGTGATTAAATGAAGTTAATGAAGGAACCGGCATGATACAATAAGGAGGGCAAACATCTGGGTGAAGTTAATGAGATATGCAAAACTGTTTCCCATATATATCTCATTCAGCAAAGAGTTCAAGGAGAATAATATAAGTAATAATAAACTGTTTTGGTATTCAGAAAAAATGATTACAAACGAAGATTAGCAAATACGTTAATTAATAAGAAGTGAAAGATAAGCTATGTAATAATATAATTAGCTAATCCCAGTCAGTAAATGATCATCAAAATTTATGTACAAACAGAAAAACGTTTAGCCGAAAGATGTCAACAAAATAGGGATAGAGCAAGAATTCATCTACAAAGTCAAAGAAAGATTGACCACTTTGGAATGATGAAGATGGTAGCTCAAGAGAAGGATTTCGATGGTATTGTATTCCCTGAGCTGGATGATTTGAATGTGAAGCTTTCATTGTCATTCCAGACAACATTACTAGCAAAAACTTCAGAAAGAAGTGAGCTGTAGGGCCTCTTTTTTACATTTGGATTAGCAGCTTATCCTCATAGCCTTACATGTGATTGGTTGCTTCCACAAAAGTCTTGTCATCGTCTTCACATTCATTTCTTCTAGTTTTCCCATTGACTTGATATTTGATTTTCTTGGTTTTTCTTATTGGTTGATAGATTGGGTCAGTGCCAATACGTCTGTTGATCATTGATTGAATTGAATACCAAGCTTTTAAAAATTCTCTGGTACTTTTCATATTTCAACTTTCCAGGATTTTCCCATTTTCCTAGTCAAATTCATCTCCATAGTTGTACGCATGCATTCATATCAGGGAAGATACATCATGATGTTTTATTGCTAGTCGATGTTCATGTAGACGCATATGAAGAGGTAGACCACTCTGTCCAGTGTAGTGTTTTGTAGATAATAATTGATTTGTCTTCTTTTGCCCCTGTATCTTTTTGCCTGCATAACAGAGAGTGAAGAGATCCGGTGGATTTGTGAGCAAAAGCAATTCTGGAAGGCTTCAGCAATCTAGCCGTGATCTCGGAAAGTTCCTTCATGTAGAGTAAGATAATAAGCTTGTTGGTTTTCGAGGTTGAATTCTTGGTTGACGATGAATTACGTAAACACCTAATGACGTTTCACGAATAGCCTTTCTTCTGGAAAATAGTTGTCAAACAGTTGTCTTCTTTTCTCAACAGGTTTGATGTGCGACATTGTTTGCGCTCTTCTGAACAACGCTTCTATACAGCTGATTTGTGTTGGGTTGTTGCTAATGTAGTTGAGGATTTGACCAGTATGAGCTGGCTTTCTGTATACTTCAGTTTCCAATTGTTTTGGAATCCATTTTAGTCATCAGAACATCTAAAAAGGCGACTATTTTATTTGATTACTCTTCAGTTGTGAATTTGATGTCATCTAAAATATTGCAGAATAGTTTGCAAGTTCTCTTCAGTTCGTTTCTTTTAATGATGACAAACGTATAATCTACATATCGGACCCAAAGTTTTGGTTTGATCAACCGCAACACCACAGTTTCCAATCCTTGCATTGCTGCTTCTATGAATAGTTGCGATATAGGCGATCCCAGTTTCTTTATTTTGTCTGTTTTTAGAATTTGCTGTTGAATTAAAAATATGTTGCAAAGCATAAAGTAATTAATTCCACCAAATTGGAGCATTGCAGTTGTGTGTGTTCCCAGAGGTTTGTATCACTGGAGGGGAAAACAGCAATTGTATTCTTGGCCAGTTTTGGCTCATTTGAGGTGTACGCAGTTGTAATATCGAAGGATACTATCAGTTCGTCGTTATCATTACGAATATGCTTTTTTCGAAACGTTATTTGAATTTCGTCATTTGGTTTCTACATTATCAGCGAACTTCAGAAGATTTGAATCACGTTCTTTTTTATTCACACTGAAGGATTCTGAGACAAGTACTTCGTGTCCTTTGTCAATGAAATCCTGAGTGACTGTGCCGCTGAAAGCATTAAATTCTCCAAGAGGTAGGTGCTTTGATACTTTACAAAATAACTGAAGGCAAGCCCTGTCTGTTCTTTCGATGTTACTGCAACCACAAATGCATATAAGCTTGTATATACAATCACAGGCAGCATGGGAAGGAAATCTGTTGACTTCTGATTATACCAACATGTATACTGTTCTGTAAAGAGGGATCAACTAGTCTGCAGAATATGTTATGCTCAGTGTGATTTCCAGTCTTCTATTGATAGTCCCTGTAAAATTTTGACCTTCAAAAATGATTTAAACAAAAACCGACTTCTTTTTTACAGTATTTTTCTAAAACCTTTTATCTACAGATCTTCCATAATTACTGACAACGTACTGTCGTTTACCGTTATCTCGCAGACATTTTTCAACGCTCAACAAATTTTGTTGCTATTTATCACTTTAGTGTGTCCTTATGGCTCAATAAAATATTGTTTTGACTGGCAAATTTTTAGGACTGATTGGACAAAAACTGTTGCAACTGAGTTGTAGTCCATTCCATGCACTTTTTTGATTGATGGACCTTCGAAGAGTACTATTTTGTCTACGTTGCAAGGTGAAGTCTGTTATTTGACGACATCACCCTTTATCAAGTTTAGTCGCTTATTCCTTCACTTTTACTCAGTTGCATCATCTTTTGTTAACGTCCAATGTTTCTAACTAACTGACCTTAACTCAAGATGTCTTACTGACTTATCGTAATACCTACTTACGTAATTGCATAATTTTAAGCTTCTTAGTATTTTGACTACTGCTCTTGTTGTTATTTTATTCAAGGAACTTCAGTTAAACAGTGTATATAATCATGACTATTTGTTAACCTTCCTTGAATTTGCCGTTATGACTGGCCTTCACTGTATGACTGTTTCTTTCCATCTTAACCACTGATTGATATTCTGTTTTCTTTCAGTGAATTAATGCCAGATTTTCAGTGTATATATATATATATATATATATATATAATGGTATTTCATGTTGTAAGCAGTTGACAAGATACCACAGGAATAAAATTTATCCTTTTTATGCTGCCCCCACTGTTGTTTCTGCTTTTTTCAAATTAATAAACAGGAACTCGTGAATGAAGATAACTAAAAAGTTAGTCATATCGTTGTGTTCTTGTTTCCTAATGAACTCGATGTTTCTATGAGTTTCACTGAGGAGTTTCAGTTAGTATAATGAATGACATAGGTCCTTGCATATGATAAATTTCGTTTATATATCAGTAATAAGATTTCGTTTAAGCTACTAGCAGGATTGATACAGAGGCTTGTTTCAAGAATTTATGGAACCAACTTGTGAGTTTGCATCTGATGGATGACAAAGGATAGGTTTGATTCAAATCGAAGTTTATCAATTTCGCAAATCAATACCTAACTTCAGTAAATCCGCAACTGAAACTTTTGTTCAAATAGCACCGTATAGCACTAACAAAACTCAGTAAAAATAACAGCATAATGTTGTTACTATTAAAATAAAGGCCCAATGGTTGTGTCGATGAAAAAAAGATTACAAAACAAAGATAAAGTGGATTCTCAAAGAATACTTTTGAAAAGAAAAATTGCAGCAAATATAAAACTGATGTAACAGGAAATAGAATCAAAAATATGCAGAGACAGCTTTTGAAAAAGAAGCTGGATCATTCCCTTATATACAATAATTTAAAACTTTGAGGGTCTCACGTGTACGGTTTGCTAAAGATATGTAACCAGAAAATTCCTCTAAAACCTGTACTGTGCATGATTAGCTCACCACATCATAAGGTGATTCGTTGACTTGCAGAAAAGTTAGAACATATAAATCAGTGAGCCATCACATATACCCTGAAGGATTCATTCCATTTTGTTAAACATCTAAGTCAAATTAATGTCTTCTATGAGTTTAAGATATCACTTGATGTAGTTTTTGCGTTCACAAAGATTCCAACCCATGAGACCGTCAGTATTCCAACCTTATCCCTTGGCAAATTTGAATTCACTTACTGTTAATGTATACCAAAACAGTCCATTCGGCTCAGTGTTGGCAAATATCTTTGCGGCTGAAAATGAGAAGACAAACCTTCTCAACAAATATCAAATGAATGGTTGTTTCTATGATAAATGTTTATTTTACTGTTCTCTTTTAAAATTAAAATAAATAATGCATTCTCCGGAATATCAGTTCATAAAGACTAAAGACTTTTTGAAATACGCCCATCCTTGACCATGGCAACCTTGAATCAATAATTATCTTTCTCGTGTATATCATATATACACAAAGAATATGATATTTGTGAGCCGAAATGAAGTGTATGAGAAAATAGTCTCCAATTTTGAGTTTCGGTCATTTTAATTTATTTTCGGATTTCATTTATAACAAAGAGAATATTAAAGCATTCGTTGTTCAGTACATAAAAATTTGTTGGAAATCAGATAAACCAGTACGTAATACACAATCATAAAGCCATAGTTAACAGTATGATGTGTTATGAAAAGAAATATTTTCCTCACATTACCAGTGCAGATTTGATGCTGTCATTATAAAATGTTAATTTACCACCTAGATGAAATACCTAGTGATTAACGATTGACGACTTACTCCATAACTGCTTTTACTCATAGTTATCATAAAAAGAAGCATTAATAGTGAATAATCTACTAAGCCAACCAAAGATGTTCGAAGTAAAGGTACTGCTGTTGCGTGCACTTGTGTCTGAAATGTCACTGAGTAGAGACGGATGAACAACACACTCAATAAAGTCAATTGTTAGAAGTGATAAAAGGCTAGGAATGTTACCATCATCAGGTTTAAAACCTGCAGATACAGTTAATTAGTGACAAAACGGAGCATATGCTTAGCAATATGGTGAGCAGATTTAGAGACTTGGTAACACAGAAGCTAAAGTAGTCGTGAAGATGAATTCTTAGGAAGAAGGAGACAGACCACATTAAAAAAAAGCTTCAGACGGCTGATTGAAAATCATAAAGTGTTGCATTTTTTTATGCCTCATAGCTACTAACATTTCATCGTGAATGATATAGGAGTCAGTCAATGCATCATATAACGCTCAGAAATATTTCCAATGAAATATAAAAGGTAAGCAAACAAGTGATAGCCTCAATGCACGTTTGAGTTAGGTATTTGTCAAGAAAAACAGTTGCTTGGAAGAAGTATTCATAAAAATATGGTTTTTAGTCACATCCGACCTTGTAAAATTCTTTGTTGTCGATAAAACAGTCTCCTTAGTAAAGGCACACAATATCATTCCAAAAAAGAATCTAGTCGAATCATCACACAGTAGTCATATTGATAATATTGCATGACTGAAACTGACTAGGACAGAGATATAGGCTTGAGTAAATTCATTATTTCGACCTGTCATCAAGAAGTAATAAAAGCTGTTAGGAAAACCATGCTTCTTGTTTACTGTTTCTCATCCTTCGTTGGTTAATTTAGGCTATGAATAATTTCTGGTGGAGACTGATGTGCTACTGAGCTAGGCGCTGAAAATATTGTGTTTAGAGCCCTAATTATAACTCACTAATCAAGCTACGCAATATATGAGTTAAGGAAAACTGAGTAACATGTTGGAAGAGTGAAGCTCAGCATTAAAAGGCACCTTTTTTCATAAAAATGTACGCACTTATCTTAAGCATATGTAATCAATCACAATAAATCTCAGAGTGGCATATGAATGCCACCTTTTTATAGTGATTCAGATAAGCACAAAAATTTAGGCAGCTGGGTGGAAAAAGTCACAAAGATGCTCATATAGTAAAACAACACTAAAGATCTGCTACTGTAAGACTTTACTACCCTATGTTGGCATGGTAAAGATAAAATATTTCAGCACATGACCTATAGTAGATTAAGTTACATTCAGGCAAATTCATTTCTATACTAGATATTTCTTCGGATGAACAAAAGACTGACTAAAAAACCTGAAATATTGAGAACTGACTTGGTATCACTTTTACTGATCATTTGCAAGGTAACATAATTCACTTATGGGTACTGAATTATTAGGATACGTAACAATGAAAGACATCAGTCTTAATTCAGAAGAAGACCTGTTCATTTCATGTCAGGAAAAATGACTTAGTATATATTTAGTTAACTTTTAACATGACAGGAAACCTGAAACTTTTACAGTACTTGCTCAAAATAAACTTAGAAATGAGCCCCTACAACTTATCACGTAAGTTTAAACAAACCCACATTATTAAGAGAAGCATTCAGAACGACACCATAAACACTTGAATAAATCATTGAATACTTCTCTCTGACTCAATTTTTCATTGCCATAAAATTAATATGCACCATTTATCTAGAATAAATGCTTTAGGATCTCAAATCGGCTAAATTTGTCAGAATTTTTTTATTCTGCTGAATGATCAAGAAATTGTTCAAAAGATTCGCTGGTAAAATTTCATTTTGTATCCATAGGCAGGATCTTTGCGATGACTCCAAGCATATAACATCAAACTGAATGATTTGCAACATTAAAGAAACTGTATACGGTAAATATGACCTAAAGGTATGTATTTCAGCCGGTAACTGGTTAGAAGACATAAAGGTGAAGTACGAAGAATAAATGGGATAAATACAACTTCCTCATAAAATCCATACATTTTATGTCAGCAGACTTTTTCATAACAGCTTTTGAGGGGTGATAATTTTCATCTAAGACCTTCGAATTCATAAATGAACTAGGTAAACAAAGACTTTACTGATGTTATAAAATTTAAAATCTTACATTAAAGCACTTCCATTATCTTCATTAGAAACTCCATACATCTTGCATATATTCATATTCTTATCCTCTAACAGCGGAAAATGAACAGTTTCATTAAGTCCATTATTTTCAACTGGCGCACGAAACCAAGCGTTGTGAGATTCGACTGAGTCAGAAGAAATGGCTAAAATTTCACAATTGATTGCTTGAAACTTCGATAAGTAACTTTCAAATTCTAGCAGCTCTTGAGATGAAATCTCCATGCTATAAATTATTTGATCACAAAATAAAACTAAATAATACAACAAAAGTCGGGACTCTGCACGTTGCTCTATTCTTGATAAGCAATAGTCAGATTATAGCTTGGTCTATGAATATGACGGGAATACGTGAACCTCAGATCATCGGAGTATAGGAATGTCCCTCATGCGGCAAAGCACTTGCACACACTCTTATTATAAGTTATAAACAGCAAAGACCCAAGAACACTACCATGAGTTACTCTAGTGGTCGCAAGCTTAGGTATAGGCCGAAATAGGCCGAAACTTAACGGTTCGACTACGATCACTAGACAGCGATTTTAGGCAACAAAGTGAAGGATTAAAGTCCAATCCACTTTTGCTTGTCTAAAATTTCACCATGAGGCACCCCGTCATATGCCTTTGATATGTCAGAGTGCAGAACAATAACGATTTTACGTGCCTTGCGGCCACCAGAGATAGGGCTGGGGAGATCGAAGCGACAGGTGACGCAAGATCCGTTTTTGATAAAACCATGTTAGGGCTTTGTAATGAGGCAACCGAAGATGCTGTTCTTCATTACTTTTCCCGAGACTACTGGCGTTATGTTTGCTGATGAGCAGTTGATACAATTCGATTTGTCGCTGGACTTGTAGCGAAGACCTATGAAGCCGGTTTTTCACTAGCTGGGATAATCTCCATTCTGCATTGATAGTATGAATGTTTTAGGAAAGAACAACGGCATATCTTCATCACTATTGGCTACTGAGTTAACTCCGTCTATCTATATAACCGCCGACAGCCTCAGGCCCTTGGCGGCCCCTGTGATACTTTATGCAGTGAGCTCCACGCTAAAATATAAACTTGTAGCAAGTGAGATCAAAAAGTATTGGGGCCACAAGTCACGAATGACTCACTAATGTTGAAGAGATTTTTGTGTACTATTGCATTAAGTGGATGGTGATTCAGGTTGGATAGAAATAGATTTGCAGGCCATTACCACCGCTTGGTTTGCCCTCTCGAGTTACCATTCCGTAGGCTTATAATAACAGTAATTGATCAATATTTGATTGTCTCACTCCAAACAACATTTGTGGTACGGTATGGAATTCTCATTGTGTGATGGTTCAGCGAATTCATTCCCATTGCAAGAAATAATCATGTTACTTGAGTAACTTTATTAAAGACACCAATAAAAGCCACAATGTGAAAGAGGCATCCGGTATTACATTGGCTTCTGGTTTGGACTGGTGAGTGGATAAACAAATCGATCGTGATTTTGGTGGTAGTAGTTTATTCAATCGGTACCAGAATATGCAGTTTGACGTAATTATCAAAGGAATGGTTACCTTGTCCATTTCTGAACATCTGTAAGCCCATTTCTTACCGGCGTATAGCTTTTCCTTTTGTTGTTGGCGTGAAACAGTGGTTTTAGATTGTTCCAAAAGTTCGCAACAGTACGTGACCCGTTTCGAAAACACATTTCAAAGATCGAAATGAACTGGAATAGAATAATTTAGTGAAATATAAAAGAATAAATATCCTATTCTCACATTGGTAATTTAGCATGAGAGAATACAGTTTATAGGCACTGTTGCATTCATATATGCTGAAAAATCTACAGGGCTTTACCGGTCCCGAATAGTATAGAAGGGAGGTTATTAAACCATGTCAAAGACGCGGGAGGGTCGTTCTAGTTGTGAGACGAACATAAAACACCCTTTTTAGTATATGCAGGGCGTTAAAGTTAGGACAACAGATTCAAAATGAGAGACGGAAGTTTACGGGGGCCGCCAAACTGGTGATTCTTGAAGGTTGGCTGGAGATTTTCATGTAGCCCAATGTTTAAGTCCACTACCATCCTATTTACTGAAATTACCCGCAGATAGACACCCAACCGTTTACCTTGCGATCAACTGAGAGGCATCTATTTTTCCCAAAAGATTGAAAATTTGCGTCTGGGAATTACCCTAAGTTGTTTACCTCACACAGAAACGAAGAACGGCTCATAAGACATAAGGTTTGATGTTGCATAAATTTGCAATGATCTCCAAATTTCTGTAAGGTTAGGCTACCTTGAAGAGTCACCTCCTCCTTTTTAAAGTGCTTTTATTTCCCATAAGGCTAACTGCGGGGCGATAAGTAGTACGCAAAGGCCAGTCACTAATTATTCGAACTTGTTATATACCCACGAATACAAAACCAAGGGAGAAAATAATAGCGTAGTTGGATGGAATAGTATATTTGGGTGGCTATGCCAAGATACTGATGCGTGTTAACTAACTGGCTAGAGAGTCGATTACGAGCAATGCAACGTAACACGACAGCGTGCCAAATGGCGAGGATGCTTGACCGGGTGCCTTCAGCTTAGTGAGCCCAGTTAAACTATCAAGGTCAGAATCAATGTTAAACGTCGTCGAACCCCAAGCTATTGACTTCGGGGAAGTGTGTGACGCTACAGTACTTTACAGTCAAATCGTCTGATCAAATCACCTTCCGCCCATTTTGAATTTATTGTAGTGGGGTAATATTATTAGGGACTCATTCAACGGTAGTCAGTGTCCTAGGTCATCTCAGTGAGTGGCGTGAAAGACACCATGAATATAACATGTGTTTAATTCGTGGTTGACTGCTCCAGAAATTCATAAATTCATTGGTTCATATCACTATCAGCCCTGCCTGCTAGCTGGGACACGAGAATAGTTGGGGTGCTCGATATTCGTCCATAAACAACACAATATTCAGTTCGTAGCGCTTACAAACGCTCTGCACGGCTACTGCATTGGTTCATCTGAACCTTTGGGATTATTCGTTGACAAGATGGGTTAATATTGCCACTAGTATACGAAGTCTTGGCCGCTCGTGGTCGGATGTGGATGTGGACCTCTAGGCTATCTGCCAGGGATCGTATGCCTGTGAGTACGTAGCTTGTGGATAAATAACCCGGATGTTCTGTTATCGAAAAAGGACTACAGTTGGTTTTAAATCCACTGAAAGGTTACATAACCAGACCCCACCTGAGTTATCGCTTTTACTATTCATGTGCCCCGCAAAAGTTTATGGTTCACTGAAAGCAAACATTTTATGCTGCCTGGAACAAAGGGGAGGTTAGCAACGGAAAAGTATGATTGTTATGGTATTTTACGGACCGCATTCTACATTTAAGATTAGCGGCGAACTACTAAATCACAAAAAGCCTTACGGAGCACCTTCGGAGTCCCTTGGGACAGTGAAATCCAGCCTTCAAAATGTTGGGTAATGATGAAGGATACGGTATAAACAGCCATCCCCCATGGCCAATGATAGTGTAGCTGGGAAGCAGTCTGACTTTGAAAACACTCGATTCTTATCACCAGAATTTCGGGAAAACCCAACCCTTCTCGAATTCAACAAAAGAGGTATTATAAGGGGCTACCAGATTGGTGGAACTCATCAACTTTTTCAAGACCGCTTAAGTCATTTTTGGAGATTCTTTCTGGTATGCTGGTGGTAGGAGAAAGATCACTAATATCCACTTCAGTGGATGAACCGTCTAGAGTAAGGAAGTAGAACCTTTTCCAGTTCAAACCTTACATTTTGCAGCAGATTCCAATATTTATAAGCGTGCCGAGGGTTGCTTTGTAGGGAGATGGAAGCCTGAATCTACTTCACACCTACCCGAGTAAGAAAAGCTTTTTTACAAAAACGACCCAAGTTCCACTTGGGGGATGTGCCGGAGGTGAACAACTATCTTCAACTACATGAGAGAACTGCATAAATGAACAGGAACTCCATTTGAAATGACTTTGCAATGAAAATCCAAAAACTGCCTGGGTATCATCCTTGGGAGTAGAAAATATTCCCGCCCACCCGTGTTCAAGCAGATAACTGCGACGGCTATTCCTTGAAACGCTGGTCGTCACAAGATCTTGAAGACTGCGTTTTGACTTCTGGGTTTTTACCACTAAGGAATTCAAAGCTGATTGTGCCATAAAATAATGTCACAAAAGTTAGCTGATGTTTGCAGTCATAACATTAAGCTCTAAGCTCTCTGATTTCTTGCCAAAATCCATCAAGTCCAGGGGTAATCCATTCAGTGCAATCTGGTGTTTGTTAAGGAGGAGTCCAATAAGGGTTTGGAATCTATAATTCCCCGCTACAAGTCCGGTGACAAAGTGAATGTTGGGAACTACAGACCTATCAACATAACGCCAGTCGTCTCCCGAATCATGAAAAAAGGTGATTAAGAACGGCATATCTGACTCCCCAATTAGATAAAACCTCGTCACAAAGCCTCAGCACTGTTTCATTAAAAACAGGTCTTGCGTTACTTGCCATTTCGACTTCTTCAACCTCATCACTAGTAGCCGTGAGGCACGTAAAATCGTCATTGTTCTATTTTTTGATATATCAAAGGCATTTGACAAGGTGCCACACAGTATTCTCTTTGATAAGCTACAATCGATTGGCATCCATGACCCTTTACTTCATTGGCTAAAATCATTTCTTAGTGATCGGAGCCAACTCGTCAAAGTAAATTCCATGCAGTCTACACCTAGGCTCATAACTAGTGGAGTAATACAGGGTAGTGTCCTTGGACCTTTGTTGTTCATAGCTTATATTATTAGTGTGTGCAAGTGCTTCACTGTAGGGGAAACATTCCTATACGCTGATGACCTTAAGGTTGTATACTCATGTTACACCCATGAACTAGGTAATACACTGTCTACTGCTCGACAAGAATTAGATGAAGCTGCTAAATGTGTGACGAGTCCCATCTCCAGTTCAACATTGATAAATGTGGTTGGCTTAGCATAGGCAGCGATAACCCAGACGTGTCTCTCAAAGTATGTAGGCAAAAGCTACCTAGACGTTCTTCAGTGCTAGATCTTGGTCTTAGATATTCCAGTGACTTAACATTCTCTGAGCAGACGGCTTGTATCACATCTAAGTCACGTAGACCCCTTGGATGCATCGTCCTACTCAACAAAGTGAGCATCCGTCTAATTTTAGAGTACTGTCCGTCTATCTTACGTGGCCTTCGTATA